TCGCGAGAGTACTTCTTTACATCTATGAAATAGGGGGGGAGGGTTCGTAACGCTACCCCTAACCCCTCACCCCGTACCCCCTACCAAAACCAAGCTTCATTTCCTCGCGAATGCTATACTGCACCCCAGCCAACCCCTGATTTCGCACCTGTTTTCTCGCGTTGCCGACCCCAACAGGACGCCATCCGCCACGCCACCGTGGTCGATGGGGAGTACTCTGAAGGCTTGGACAAAGAAAGCATCGCTCAACAGGTAAGCGGAGCGACTATAATACACTCACTCGCCTCGCATGGCAGGGTCTGAGTCGCAAGGCGTGCCCCTCTTGCAGGTTCGTCTCGCGTGGTGCATATGTGGTAGCAGCTGTTTTGTGGTGTGGTCTGTTGTTGATGAACCTAGACATGTTGGCAGCTCATGCGTTCGAAAAATCAACGATGTTGATTTGCTTTGTCTGCGTGCTTGCGTATGTGTACGTGCGGGCGCTCTCCTGCTGTAGTCCCTGCGTCGTCGAAGTTCATAGAGTACCATGCCTTCCCGCACATTTCTTCCCAACAACTATAATTTAGAGAGAAATGAACGAGCGCAGCGCCTCAGTTTTGACACATGTCGTGTCACCCTGCTGAATGTTATCTGGGCGGCACGTTATCACTACAATCCCTTGCATTTCGAAACATTGAAGGGCATCTAACGAACGAAACGCCGCATGTTTCAATCACATATTATTGTTACATTGCATGTATGCAAACGTTGTCTGGGCCACCCGTTTTCTCGATATCTTGCGCTTCGAAAGCTGGAGAGTGGGGTCGAGGACGCCCTGGACGGGACAGGCTTGGAAGGGTTGGGGGTTTTCGCGGATTGGAGAAGAGATCGGGACGTGCTTTGCCCAGGGGGGGCGGCGTCCCTTCGGGAGGAGATCATGGGCGTGGCACAGCGATGCCGTAATGCCTCCAACGACCTGGATGCCCTGTCGATACTGGAGGAATACACGGAGGAGAGGAGGTGAGTGTGGCAGCGGGGTAATGCAGCAGCAGGCGGGGAAAGGTGGACATATACATTATCAGCAGCTTTTGTAAGGAGGCAAGAGGCGACTGGGGAGTAAGGAGCATACGTGGCGGACAGAGAGTGAGACGAGAGCGGCATGTAGACGGTGGCATTTTCACAGCCCGCTACCACCTTAGCGGTACGGCCTCCGCACTGCCGTTGGAAAATGTGCCAGAATCCCATCCCAGATAGATCCCTTGCTCTCTGCACGGCGGTGGCGGTACCCCGCTGCTCGTGCTTACATCGCCCTACCTCACTTTACGACCATCGCCACCCGTCTTGACCATCGCAGAATGGGTACCTTCGAGGACGACTTCATGGCCTGGGGTAGGGTGCAGCTGGAGAAGCTCCCGGCGACGTTGTTCGATCGCGCGGGATTCGCCACATCGGCGCCCCCGTCCACCCCGGACGCAAAGAAATCCAGCAGCGCCGAGGGCGAGGGCAGCGCGGCAAGCGGCAGTAGTGTTGACGGGAGCAGCGGCCGGCGGGGAAGAGACAAAGGCACCCCGGTGCGGGACAGAAACAGGGCGGCTAGAAGGATTATTACTACTATCAGTGACAGCAGCAGCGAAGACGATAGCGGCAGCCGCCGCCGCGGGAGCGTGGGGAACAAGCCACCCTCTTCTGCGCCTACCGGTTTGCCTAGGGTCCCGCCCTCGACATCTCGGAGAGCGTTAGGGGCTGACGATCATGGCTCTGGCGATAAGGCAACGGCTGGGTCTGGGGCGAGGGTTGCCATGTCGGGTTCGAGGGAGCAGCCTCTGTCGTTGGACGATGACGGCAGCGACGACGACGCATCCTCTTCCGGCAACGGCCCGCCCCCCGCCAGCGGCGGGGTGCCAGACAGCGCGAGGGAGAGAAAAGACGGACACGGACAAGGCGGTGATCCCCTGTGCTCCTCGGCCTCGGACAGCAGTGACGATGATGAGCTAGAAGACGAGTACTTTCCGTCCGATTCGTCGAAGCGCCTGAGGTCGGAGCGAAAGAAGCAGCGCCGGAAGCGACGGAAGAAGAGGCATCTTGACTCCGGCGGGGTGGTCCCGGCGGCGGCCTCGCTGGAGGAAGAAGCGTCGAAGGCCGTGTCGGCGATGGAGGCAGCGCGGCCCCGGCCCCGGCGCGCGGGTAAGCGCAACCAGGGGGAGCTGGTCGAGGGGGACCAGGTCATCCTCGAGGCGAAGGAGTTCGGCCGCCCGACGAATTGGGCGCCGGGCGTGGTGACCTGCAACCGTAAGGACGGCACGTACGACGTGTTCCTGGCGGGCGGCGAGGTCGCCCGCTTGGTGAGGAGGGTAGAGCTGCACTTCCGCCACGGCGGCGGGGCGATAGCGGGAGCGAGGAGTTCCACGGAGGCGCGGCCCGACGGCTGTCCTGTCGCCGTCTTCGGCTCGGCGGACGTGATCGACGTTTCGCCGGGGCCGGGGGCAGAGGAGGCGGGGGGGGGCGAAGCAGGCGGCGGTGCCGGTGCCGGTGCCGGCGGGCGGGGTCCCGGACGGCCGCGGCTGTCGAAGGCGTACCGGCGTGTCGGTGGTAAAGTCGACACCGCGGGACCGAGGGACGATGAAGGGGTGCGCGAGGGGCAGGAGGAGGAAGAGGACGAGGGCGAGGAAGAGGAGTGGGAGAAGGAGGAGGAGGAGGA